GCTTATCTAAAGTAGTATGGAATAAATATCTAAGTTCTTTGCCCCTGTAGTTAACTCGTCTAAAAGTAGAGATATCTCGAGAGCCTCATTAAAGATGTGTGGGGGATGGCACGGACACCACACTAACCCATTGCGAATATCTCTCTATGTCATACTCTTCTATTCTAAGTTCCAGCTCCTTACACTTTAGCGTGCTGATAATTCGAAATATAGCATCGGATCTGTCGGGTAACCTCTTGACATGCTCTACTTTATAGATAAACACGACCTTGTCAGCTTTGATAACAACAATATCCTTCAATGTATTCAAAACCCTCTGCAATCCGCCTACTTCACTAATTTTGGGTATTGTGAATTGTAGCTCTGGCTCGGGCCACAACACCATATACTTGTCAATGTTTTCTGTGGGGCTAGTTGGACTTAAAGCTACAGTCGAGTCCGAGGCCACCGCCGCTACTTCTTCAGTTATGTGCTTCTTAACATAGACGACACTCTTCTTATCTTGAAGCGAAAACCCATGTGTAGTTAAGTCTTCAGTTATCTTAGATGATGCTGCCCAATCCCCCGGAGCTGTTATTTCCTGCATAACAACGTCACTATCACCGCCTACTTTACTATCACACATACCATTACAGCCCGTCCCTCTAACACTACCTAACACTAACACTAAAGAACACAACACAATCACGATTCTATATCTAATCGTCCGACCGCGATAAATCCTATTTCTATCCACACCTTTAACTATTTCAAGATAAGACATACCTTTCAAAACCAAAGTAAATTTATCTAAATGAAAACTGATCTCTCAAAAGAGTAGATAAGAAAGTAGATTAATTACTTGGGGGCCTTGTTTTGTTGCTAATGCCATAAATGAACGTGAACGGTTCTTGTTAGACTGAATCAAGGAGAATAAACAAGAGTCTGTTAAGTTTAGGTTAATATCGTGTTATTGAGTGGTAGCCCGCCGTTTTCAACCAATACTAACTTCAACCAAAACATAATCAGACCGGACGCTCGTAGGATCTATTGAACAAAGTATCAACATGTTAGGTATGACGTGTACAACACCTAAGATTCCGTGCCATAGCATCAACTTAGTATCTTCTTAATCCAAATAGATCCTATATTTATAGTTTGGACTTGTACTCTACCAACCTCTAACCCAATACTAACCCAATGGAACTGCTGATGAAGACTAAAGATATGTTGACTTATGCTTATCCCCTTGAAACAGACTCCGATGCGGCTGTTTTATCAGCTAAGCTTCCTACTAAACTGGCAATTATTGTTGACTGACTTAAACTATGTTCGACCATATCCTAATTCTATCAATTTATAGCAGTTCAGGGGATGGGCATTAAGACTACTAATATATGCTTGAACTGGAAAAGCCGTGTTCATTAATGGAATGACTACGCCAAATAAACATCTACAACATCATTTTATTGTCCTAGCCCAAAACTGACCCAAATACACTTCTAATCCTAATCTCAACTCAACTCAACTCAACTCAACTTAACAGTTAAATTCCAACTAAACCTATTCACATTTCCAAAAAGAAAGCTCGACGCATTGTTTTTAAACATTAACCCAAATGGAATCAGATTAGATTGGGTTTTGTGATGTTTGCACCGTTCTTTGTGGAGATCATAAGCCAAACATCTTGATTTATTGTAGGGTAAGTAGAGCCAACAGCTGTTCTCCTTCCATGGTAAGGTTTGGAGCCAGTCTGAATTGGCATTAGAGCCTTTAGCACTACTGCCAGGAAAAGCAAATATAACGGTAGATGAAGGGATGCCTATAAGTCAGTTGAGAGTATATGTATTTGGATTTTCGCAAGAGCAACAATCCTTCAAGTGGGTTTTGTGAAGAAAGTAGGCACAATAGATGCAGGCCGGGTGTCCACAGTTGAAATAACAAAACCCATTGAAGTTTGTCTTCAGGCCGAGTTTGTGCTAGGACTCCGTAGTATCTGATTAGCTAGCTTTCCTTTCTTCTGATGAAGTATAAAAGGTTCTATTACACTCTGAGCAATTGGACAGGCGGCTTACTACTTCTGTTTTCAGAGAACAGCTATGATGGCATGAAGCGATGTATTGAGTTAGCATTGTAATCTGGGATGAGATTCCCAATTTTGTCACAGCGGGTGTAAAGGAGATAGAGTAGTTTACACGACATTGCAGCGATAAGAAGTACAGTGAGATTCAGAAGGTTGACTAGTTTGATGATAAAGATTACGACATAAACCGAATGAGAGCACAATCGGACCATTCTTAGGAGTGATGTCCTCGATCTGAACGGAATGAAGATATGGTAGATTGCCGAACACATATTTGCACGAATACAGTCCTTGTCGGTCTTGTTCGGTCAGTTTAACTTTAGCCAGCCAGAGAGTTGTTAGGTTTTTGCATCGGTAGGCTGCCCAACAACGAATAATTTCAAAATCTCTTGCAGTTAAGAATTCATTGTCACGTAAGTGTAAGAACAGTTTGGTAATAGAATCAGACTGGGTTATGTTTGGAGTTGGAGTTGGGCCATCTTGAGTGAGTTGACATTCAGTAAGATCGGTTTCTAAGGCAGCAAGGGTAGTAATGCAATAAGTGAGACCTTTCATATCTATCATATAAGGTTGGTCGGGGTAAGGCGGGTTTAGGTTGTATTTGTCAGACGGGACTAACATTTTGATGTTAAGATAATTGAGAGCATCTAAAGCTCTCTTATACGAGCCAAAGAGGACGGGTTCAGGAGCTAGGACGAGTTTGTGGAGGCCAAGTTTTTGTGTTGTTTCCTTCCCATTATGGTCATTAACATAGTCAAAAAATGAGAATCCCTTCAATCTCTCTCGCCTGAGGAAATATTTGACCTCATTTAGACAAGTGATGCCATTAATTATGAGCTTGGAGATCTTTTCAGCCATGGGAAGAGCTAATATTTGGACAATGGCAAGGTTAGCAAGGCGGTGGTTTATAATATGAATTTCGGTTAGTTTTGAGCAAGTAAACTCATAGCAACCTAGCATTCGGTATAAAATGAATTCATCGACATTATCTAGAATCAAGGTCCTGACATTGAGATTGAATTTGTGAGAGTTATCTAAGCAAGTTTGGGACAACTTCAGATTAAAGTCAATATTAGTTGAAAACTCACCATGCACATTTGAGATACACAACTCTTGTGCATTGATACTTCGTAATTTGTTGAGAAGCTCAATACAACAGCGGGTCAGGTTCTGGCCAGGCTCTTGCTGGTAAGTCCTTTTATAGCCACTAATACTAAGTGTTGTGTAGCGTATATTCTGGCAGGCGAACTGAAGTTGGGGGTTGCTAAGGTTGATATTGACCGGCTCTTCAAGCTCCCACGTGGGGTCACTAAGTGCAGGTCCAAGACACACAATCTTCTTATTGTTAGGACTCAATGGGAAGTTTGATAAAGCTTGTATCTTGCAAAGGCTTTCTAACCCCAGAAAGAAGTCATCTCGGCCATAAGCATACTCAAACTCGACTGATTCAACAGAAATGCCATATTTAGCAAAGGACTTCGGGGCCAATAATTCTTTGTAGTAAGATACGAAATCACAGGACCCAGCACACGAGACTCTGTAAATAAACCTGTCGGCAAAGACACGGAGTTCAGAAGGTGATGGAAGTTCTTTGTTATCAGCAAAGGCAAATTCATGATTCAACTTATAGGCATCGTATGACAAAGCATGAACATTGATTGGGGTCTTATTGTATATTGCAAGATATCGAATAGCAAACCAAGATCCAACTAACATTATGGTTGGACCTTCTGTAGGCACTTTCTCAAGCCCAGTTACTGCCATTGGGGGATTGATATGGCCGATGTTGAAGATGACCTTGTCGCAGCCTTGAGCATCACGTTGAATGGATTTCAAATCAATATCAATCTTTTCTTGGCGATAACAGATTTCGAGACACCATTTTTCTGATAGTGATAAAGGTATAAGATATATAGAGAGATCTGGGAGGTACATTATAGGCAATCTAAACTGCGAAACACGCCGTAATATAACGAGGCGCTCAAATATATACGTTAGAAAGAGATCCGATGGGATAGCTGACATAATCCCCAAACAAAATGGCGCCGAGCCAGCAAACCTAATGGTATCGTCAGCCTCTTCCCAACACAGCTCCGAATCAAAACCATCTTTATATTTATCTAAGTTGTGGATTTTATCGCAATCAACTATCAACTGCAGCTCTCTACACTCAAACATGTTAAGAAGTCGGCACAAAAGGATCAACTTCTCTTGCTGGCCGTTAGTATCCGGTTCGAAATATTTGATAATAACGTCATTAGCCTTAATCACTGTAATTCTTTTCAACTCATTCAAAGCTTTTGTAAGCATATCTGAATCATTTGGTAGTGTATAGCGAATTGTCTCACTTAAACAGTCTATCGCATACCTAGGCGCTTGGTTCTGTCTATAGTTCGGTTGGGCCGAGTCAGGATTGACATCGCTAGTGACACCCGGAGTGTGTGTGAACTCTAAAGCTTCCAGGGATGGATGGAGTATAATCCATCTACGCGGAACCTCATTAAATAGATCGAACCCAATCTCTTTTAGAGATCTAAGTACATCCTCTGAACGTGGCAAATCCTGCCAATCTATTTCCATACTCGAACCACTCACTATACTAACCCAATGCAACAACAGTACTAACAAGACACACAATCTAATTACAGTCCAATTGGATATAATCGCATGGTAGTGAGATAGCTTGGCAGTAGAAGCATTGGTCATTAAAGGAGTAGTTCTAGTGCTATGTCTAGCATTGCGTCCTAGGAAAGGAGCACTGTCTTTCGATTGCCGGAGTTTAACTAAAGACTTATCTCGACTTGGCCAACAAACGGGTTTATTGGGCAAAGACAAGCTCTGGTGTCCTGGAGTGCACTCCTTATCGTTTCTTACTTCTTGTTTAGTTATCTGTATGCTTTTCATTATGAGATTCTTACCAACTTCAAAGCATATTTATAGAGTAGACAAGTGATATCAACCCACGAGATCTTAGTAGAAGCAAAATACTTATCTAAATCGTAATAAACCACACAGCACATTAGCATGTCTATACTAGCCCAACCAATATACTAACACAGATTAGCATAACTTGCCAACAAAATACTATGGTCTTCATACAATCTTTATTACCAAGAGCTATTTATACCATAATTACGTAAGATCTTGCAAGTACTATCTTACAACCACTACCGAGAAAGCAAAGGACAAACAATAGCTATGACACTCTCACCAGTCGCCACTTTCAACAGAGTTATCCACACCAAACACTAACCGAATACTAACCGAATACCAAGCCCAGGGCAATATCAATAGACTAACCCAATTCAAATACTACTTTAGTTTTCTTTGTATTTTCAAGATATGTTTACGGATGACGCAAAGACTCGGGGTCCTGCACTAACAGCCCGGGCGACTCAAGAGACCACACAGTACCCAGACATATTCGATAAGTTACCATCATTACCCCGTGTATTAGCAGATGATCTTAATAGAGGTGATTATACTCTTACACCGCCCCTATCAACATCTCGTGGAGTTGAATGTTCAAATCTAGCCGGAGTTGTGCCACCCGAACTAATGCGGGCCAGTATGTATACAGTACCAGCAGACGAAGATTTATACGAGGTAGTTGGCATTCCTATGCTAGTCTTAGTCCAGCCGTTCAATGATATAGTAGCTTTACCCGAATTTACTGTCTCCTATCCAGCCGAACTAGGCCAGTGTCGTAGTTGTAAGGCCTTCCCGGCTCCTTCCAATAGTTCAGCTTATAAATGTGCGATCTGTGGTCAGAATGGCGAGGTAGATGGCGAACCTGCCACTCTTCTTCACCATGCCGTAGACTATACTGTGCAAAAAGAAGCATTAACCGATCGTAGTTGGTACTCCCGCCGTGAACTGCCTAAAATAACCGCCTTTCCTATTCCGGCCTGTCGTAAATGGGCTGAAGCCACAGTTGTATTTGCCATTGATGTATCTTTGACCTCTAAATCTTCAGCCCAGTTTGCTGAGTATTTAGGAGGCTTACAAGACTTAATTGAGTCTCGGGACTTTGCTTTATTGTACCAGCGCTTTGCTGTTGTTCTTATTGGTAGTACTCCAGCGGTAGTATCAGATACGGAGTTAGGTCTAGCTGTTAATGTACTGAATAGAGTAGAGGGAGAAGCAGGACTAGCTGCTCCTTGGCTAATTGAGGTGGATACAATGACGGGAGACAAAGTTACTTCTTTAGTTAAGCTGATAGCTGAATATCCGACTGATGGTTTTGATTTAGCCGCTGGTTTAACTACGGCAGCCCAATTAGTATCTTATACGGGTGGAGGTTCAATTCTTTTATGGCTAGGTCGGCCGAGTTATGACATTACTATTCAAGCACCTTTACTGCAGGGTATTTCTGAGTGTGGAGCAGCAGTGCATATATTTACGCCTAAGACTACTCAGCTGCACAAAACCAGTCGTGTAGCTTTTGCAACTGGTGGAGCCTTAGAACAAGAAGATATTCGAGCTATGGTTAGTGACAAAGTGCTTAGAGAACTATTCCTGCGCTGTACAGTCAGGATAGTAGCTAGTAATGGTCTGGCTAAACGAGCTATTTATTCCTGTGGGTTTTCCGAAACAATCACGGGCTCTTTGTTCTCCCAGATGGATGCCGGAACAACACTAAGTATTTCCTTTGGCGTGGACGACTTTATGCGAGAAGGAGCTCCAGTCCAGATTCAGACCATTGTGGAGTACGTGGATATTCAAGGGGCCGATCGAGTTCGAGTGATCAATATGCGGCTGAAAGCTTCCCGATTAGTCCAGCAGTTATATGCAGGTATGGCCTTTGATACTATCTTTGCAGGTATGTGTAAGTATGTAGCATCTGATCCAGCTTCTATGCTAGATAGTGTACGGAAGGCAGAGGTAGCCATTGTAACTGCGCTAGCTTTGTATAAGAAGATCTGTGCTAAAGATACGGCTAGTAATCAGTTGGTTTTGCCTGAAACAATCAAAGTACTGCCATGTATCTTACAAAGTTTGTTAAAGTATCCTAAGTTGCATTTAGGTCCAGCAGCTAAAGAAGAGTTAGCTGGAGCCTTAATGCCCTTATCAGTGGAACGGACTTTACGTATGTTTTATCCTAGATTAGTGAAGATATCCAGTCTTTTTGTTTCGGCTGGGATTATGAGCTTTGCCGGGGAAAGATTAAGTATGCGCGGGTTAAGTACAGATGAGGGGTACATACTGGATGCTGGGGGTCGAGTGGTCTTTTGGTTTGGCCATGGTGCTATTGATTTTGCCGATGAAATGCTAGAAAGTAGTGCGGTGACTGATGCGCTGGCAGCTCTACGTGAGGCGTATGGCGTGCACATAAAGGTTCTACGACGTGCCCAGGGCGAGCAAGATGCTGATTTTATTGGATACATGGTTGAAGACCAAATGGGCGGCTATCCTAAGTATCAGGACTACCTAGGCACACTACACACTAAAGTATCGCGCAAATAAAGCTATTACTTCATCAATCCTGTCTTATTAACTTAGTTGATGGTTTATAGTCTGTGTTTAGTGAGTTAAGTTAAGATATGTTAGTTTATGTAGTACTGAATACCAACCTAATCCTAACTCAATCCCAACTCCATACTTAACTAATACATACTCTATTAAAGACATTCCTTGAGATAAGTAGTGTCTTTTATTAAGCAAACACGGTTGAGTTGAAGTAAGATGACGTCATCTTGGGTTAGTGTTAGTATTAGTATTGGTTTAGTACTAAGTAGTGTTTACTAAGTAGTGAGTAACTTACCAATACTTAAGTTGATTGTTGTGGGAAATGGGTAGTGGTCGTATGACAGCACTACAGGTTGAGATAGTAATTTGGCTCAATTTATTGATTAAGAGGTAAAATATAGAATTGGGTTAGAGTTGAGTGTGTTTTGATTTAGGATGGGGATAGTTTGTTAAAAAGTGATAAATGGACTAAAGTTTTGATTTCCTGTTTGGAGAGATTGGGAGTATATTGTGAAGATATGCGGTGGTACTCATCTGGATGTAGTTGGTGTTGAGATCTGAGAGTATCTAAAAAGGAAATAAAAGGAGAAACGGCTAGATTGGGAATGAGAGCGGATTTTCGTTCGAGATGTTTGGTGCCTTGAACGTGTTCCATCCAGCCGGCGGAGCTTTTGGTACGGAGAGTAACCCGGCAGAGACGGCAAAAATATTTCATGCAAAGGCTGGAGGATTGTTCAATTGAGATAATAAGTGGAGTTTTAGTGGTTAACAATCGAGTTGAAAGTTGTAGTAAATTGATATATATTGGGGGTTTGGGGGATTCGGTGGTGGGTGGATATGTTGGCCAGTTAATGGAGTTTGGGCGTAAACATGGCGTACAGGTAATAAGTCTTGGATTGCGATCTATGCCATATTATGGCATGCATTCAATTAATGATGATGTGGTGGATTTGGAAACAGTTTATAAATACTTAGAGTTAGATAGTCAAGATAGTGTTTGGTTGTTAGGACACTCGACGGGCTGTCAAGTGATTATGCTCTTCTTAGGTGAAAAGCGGGACAGTCGAATTAAAGGAGCTATTCTGCAGGGGCCAGTAAGTGATCGGGAGTATGAAGAACACACTAATCCGCATCTAGCTGAGCAGATAAAGATTGCAGAACAGACTTCTGGTGTGCTGCCATTTAAGCACCAGGGCCAGTACATTATTGCCGAGCGGTTTCTGAGTCTCTTTAAGGAGGGTGGGAAGGAAGACTTCTTTAGCTTAGGACAGGAGACAGGTCATATGAACCAAGCACAGGTACCTCTTTATGCCATTGTGAGCAGCCAGGATGAGTACTTGGTAGCCGATTCAGAGGCAGTTAAGACCCACTTAATGAGCATTAGTAATATGGTGAATGTAGAAATCCTAGAGGGAAATCATTCATTGTTAGACAATCTTCCTCAGTTTTTCAAGATACTAGCTGAGATTGTCCAATTACAACAATAAACCACTACGTCTTTATAATTTATTAACTTAACCGCCCTCCATATCAATCTGACTCAACTTAACTTAATCGTAGAGACAAAGGGCCATAGCAGGAATGGCATCAAGAATAGAAGTACTATCTAGCATAGCAAGTAGAGATAGAGCCATTGTCGTATGGTGTAAATTAGGGGTTTTGCCCGGGTGGTCTGAGAAGCCACCAGTTACACACTCACAAGACTGAACAAACGCTTTGAGAGCTTTGGTATCAGCATAGAAGGACTTACCCAGAAGCATAAGACTAGAATAGGCCCAAAATGAAGCACACAGATCTTCGGACTTATCTACTCGATCAGCAAAGCCACCAGACTTTCTTTGACATTGGGTTAGAAAACGGGCACAACCCTCTGTATCAATAGCTCCAATTTCACCAATAATAAATAGAGTTGAGATTGCACAAAAAGTATAGGCTACATGTGATTCGCAACCTGGCTCACACCCAATACCACCATCAAAATTACTGCACTTAGAAATGTAATCACAAAGCAACGTTTTGATAGGGGTTAGAACCAAAAAGTACTCAGGACCACCTGCATTCAGCTGAGAAAGCAAGTTCTTCGATATTGTATAGCAAAAAGGCATTCGCTGGTCAAGCAAGAATCCAGGATACCCAATAATCTTCTCATCAGTCACGAACTTCTCAAGAAAAGCATTACACATAACCCAGTTAGGCATTTTAGGTCTAGGCTGATTAGAAGGTTTATGACTAGGCTTAGTAGAACTGTCCGGGTTAGAATCAGTGTTTTTCTCTCCTTCAGGTTTATTCGGAGTCTCTGAAGGTTTGGTCTGGTCATTATCCGGCCGGTCCGACTTGTTTCTCTGATCAGGAGTCTTAGAGGACTCTTGATCTTTTGGCCCCTCTATATTAGTCTTGCCCTCTACACTTTCTTGGGTTTGTGTACCTTCCGGCGCACCAGCACTGTTTTCAATAGGCTCGTGATCGTCTTCCTTTTCTTCATCATCACTTTCATCACTCTCATCCTCTTCGTCTCCTAGCAGTACTACTTTGGGCATACTTAGCAAAGGCTGAATTGTTTGTTCATCAATGCGGTTCTGAATAGTAAACTCTCCAGCTCGTTTAAGCCCACAGTCTTCTACCTCCGGCACTGGCATTCCCTTACTCTGACAAGTCAGTTTAGTCTGCTGAATCAAAGAAAGCAACTGTAAAGCCGACAGAGTAGCCAGAGGCGAAGAAGGATACCCAACCGCCGCACCAAATCCACCATCTTCATTTTGGCACTTCACAACAAATTCCTCAATCCGCCCCGCAAAGCCAATAACCATAGGCAAATCATCCAGCATCGAAAGAGAAAACAATCCCCAGTACAAAGTACTCATCCGCATTGGCGAAGAAAGATAGAACACTCTAGTCTTCTCAGACAAACACCGCATCACAAAGTCCACATGCACTTTCTTCTCAACCATACCGAATCACCCCAAACAAACACAATCCACTTTCAATTTCGATTTCGATTTCGTTTCCTATTGGGTTAGTATTGGGTTGGTGCAACTTAACACCATCTTAATAGAGTTTAGTATAATAGAATATCAACTTAATACAACTTAACATAATACAATATCAACTTAGTACAACTTATTACAATACAACTTAAACCAACTTAACACAATACAATATCAACTTAGTACAACTTATTACAATACAACTTAAACCAACTTAACACAATACAATATCAACTTAACCCAACTTAATACATTATCAATTTAATACCATCTTAACACAATACAATATCAACTTAGTACAACTTATTACAATACAATACCAACTTAACTCAACATCAACTTAACACAATACTAACTTAACACTAACTCAACACCAACACAACTTAATAATAACTCAATAAATGCTTATCTAAGATAACGTATAAAGACCGTCTCTTTTTTTTTTAATGACCACTGTATTTGCACTTTGTATTCCATTCATTGACATATCTATTAAATTGCCTAATTTGGTAAACCAATTAGGACTGGCCCCAAATGAAATGACTCTCTATCATACACTAAGTAGTGAAGCACAGGCACAATTACTAATCTATTTAAATGACCAGGAGAATACTACAGTCTCTTATGGTGGAATGCTTTACAACACTTGCATGGAGATATCAAAATCAACTGACGGTGTTAATGCCGTATTTATTGGCCCATTTTCAACCCAACCTATCTCTAATCAAGTCTTTTATAAGGCCCTAGCCGGTCGGATTGATCGTTTAACTGTAAGAGCAACAACTCTAGATACTGAACCTGGAATTTGTTTTGTGATTCCTAACGGTCAAAATAGAGCTTTTGTGACTAAACCAAGTCCGTGCATGATAGTAGATAAGCAGATGACTGAAACGTTGTTTTTAAATCTAGCTAGACAAGCTGAGCAAGAGAAAGCTTCTATTGTGTATATAGCTGGGTATACGGTTGAGTCAAGTGAATCTTTACAGGAAGTAGTTCGGCGTAAAAAGACTGGAACACTTCCTGCTACTTTATGTTTTAATCTTTCTGATCCTGGGGTGCTTATTCGTTCTTATCAGAAGGTTAAACCGTTTATTAAGCATAGTGATTGGATTATTGGTAACAAAGATGAATTTACTGAATTATATCATCAAATTACAGGTATTTATCCCAGTAGTACTAAGGAGTTGTATGCTTGCATTCAAAAGGAGACGCAAAATGCAGTGATTACTTGTGGTCCCCATTCAGTAGCTGCTCTTTATAAGTCTGAACAAGGTGAATGTATTAGTATTGTTAAGCCTCCTAAAGTTAATGCTAAGAATACTACTGGGGCCGGAGATGTTTTTGCTGCTGTTTTACTTAGTGGCATTGCTCGGCACAGAGATATAGAAGAGATTCTTCATCAGGCGGTTGAGCGTACTACCGACTTTCTTAAAGGTATTTAGTTGGATAGATAAGAGTTAGTGTTGGGTTAGTATTATTATTAGCTAAAAGTAATTGTGAGTTAGATAAGATAAGCTATTCTTATCTCTATTTGATTTTTAAAGTGAATATTTTGGGTTTGCTTTTAAGAGACTTATAATTGACTTGCTTATCTTATCTTTTTTGGCTTTACTTTCTATTTTACTTATCTGAAAGTTGATTGCTTAATTTTGATCTTCTTAGTATTAGTGCAGCTAGATAGTTTCTGGTCGGTCCTATTAGAAACACCAATCCTTCACTGCTTCAGCAGCTCAACTGTTTAAAGGTTAGTACAGGTGTGTACACCGCTATAACAATAAAGTCATCAGTTGTTCATTCAAGTAATCAGTTATTCATTCAAGTCATCAGTTATTCATTCAAGTCATCAGTTATTCATTCTTCACATTAGGTTGGTAATGATATTTGTAGTGTTTCGGGAATAGAATAGTACCTTTTAAGCAAACATACTCAACTAAAGACCAATTTGGAAGAGGACAGGTTAGTATTGGGTTTGTATAGCTTAGGTTCTCTTTATCATACGTCATCCTGAGATATCTCGCAAACTCGGAGTATAAATACTAATCTGAGATTGTGATTTCTAATTCGTGATTTTAATCGCACTCGCTGCAAATAGTGCCTTAGGGCTAGTATTACTGAACTATACCCCTATATAACTCACTTTAATGTGGAGACCAGCGAGGGCATCACACATGACATCATCTCAATTCAATCTAATACAACATAGCGATAGAGTTTATTAACCTAATAGTAACAAAGTCTTGGTCAAATACACCTTACTTTCCCAACCTTACAGACCTAACTTGGACTTCTCAGCCGGTCCAAGTAGGTAGTTAACTATGCCATACTCAAGTTTCAATGCGACCATAGTCAAAAGCACTAGAGTTACTAGTAGACCTAAGGCCGAAAAGAAAATGGTTAATCGGTTCTGCGAGACAACCACTCGGTTTTTATTAACACCTATTCGTGGCCAGATATAATCTAGCACGGCAAAAAGGGCCAACAGAACTGGGAAGAATCCCAGTAAGTGCCCAAACATTGTGCCCGTATAGGCCAAACTAATCACAAACAAAATCAAATGACTTACCCCAATAAACAAAAGCGCATCATTAGTTACAATCATATGCGTCACTAAATAAACCAGCCATAGATTTCCTGAGATCACAGCTGGTAAAGCCAAGACTATACCCGAAACAACACAAAGGAAAAACCTCGTATACTCGCTCTCTTTCTTCTGCTCCTGTTGAATTGCTTTCTTCCAGAAGATAAACCCAATCAGTAAAACCACCCAAAGTCCTAACAATGAAACTAACCCAATACCTTGGTTCTCCCCAAAAGAGTAGGCCAAGATCCCAAAGTACACAAAACAACTCCCCAATAAAAACCAACGAACTACTTCCCGCCCGTATTTAAGGAACTGGTCCATTCCCGTATCCCCTAAACTCCGACTTTGTATTTCGTGCGAATTCTTCAACTCCACATCTGTACCTTCGCCAGTGCCAATCGAAATATGAATCATTGCCTTCCTAGCACCTCCACCTAAATATCGCAGACTTAATTTAGCAGGATAAGGAAGAAGAGTATTCATCATCCTTTCTTTGTATAATTGTCTCATTAGATCAATACTAACCTCTACTCCAACCGGCCAATTGAAATCAAGTTTACAATATATCCCTAGTCGGACTAATAACCAGGTCATAGACCATACACAGTCCCTACTAACTCCACTCCCCAGTACCGCCTAAAGCCAACTTATCAATGAAGACCCATGAAGTCACCCCAAGCAAACTAGCCCCCAACCACTCCAATCCCAACCAACCCCAACCCAAATACAAACCCAATACTAACCCAATAAACACAATCTATATATATCACAGCCCAATAGTGTTTATTTTTTCATGAGTAAGTACGACCGCGCTCTTTCTATCTTCTCTCCTAATGGCCGAATCTTTCAAGTTGAATATGCACAATTAGCCAGTGAAAGGGGATCGCCAGTTATCTTCTATTCAAATCAGCAGAGCATTGCAGTAGCTATTGAAAAACGTGCAGAGAGTAAGAACAGAATCCTTTCCGACTTAGATAAGTTTAAGGAAGTTGAATCTGGTATCTATCTTTCCTTTGCTGGTATTTATCCAGATTGTTTAGTTATCATTGATCAAGCCATTCTTATAGCCAGACAATATGCTTATGATATTGGCGAGCGGATTGATATCAAGAAATTGGCCCAAGAGTTAGGAGATTACTTGCAAAAATTCACTATTACTGGTGGCTGTCGGCCATTTGGTGCTAAGATAGTCCTTTTTGGGTTTGATTCGAATGGTCCTGTTATTGCTTTAGTCGAACCGGATGGTAATTACTCTTTCTATATTGGAGGGGCAATTGGTCAGAAGAGTGATAAGGCTACTGAGTACTTAGAAACAGCGACGGGTTCGAGTCCAACTCAGATTGTAGCTCAAGCTCTCTTTAATACGGCTCAGAAAGACCCTCAGAAAATGACCATTTATGAGATTAGTCCGGAAGTAGCTCAAATTATGCCTACTTCGGCTATCTCAGATCTTCTTTCAGATGCTCAGTAAGTTAGCTGAATGTTTGGCCATTTAGCTATTTAGTCAGTTACTACTTATCTACCTACATACCAAATGCACTAAATTTATACCTATAGTTACTTGTTTTATTATCTATACGTACTTTATGACCAGTTTGATACTATTTGCTATCTAATCATGTGGTTAGTATTGGGTGATTCTTAACCAGCAGAGTTACTCAATAAACAATTGGTGTCTAATGTAATGCCTAGGGAAGTATATGGTTCATTAGCCAATATACTCTATTAAAGACATTTCTGATGACAAGTAGTGTCTTTTATTGGGTTAGTATGGCTGTGCTGAGATAGGATGACTTCGTATTGAAGTGTATCTTAGATATGCAAAGTTAGTTTAGTTAAAGTAGGTTTATTGGATTGGTATAGTATAGTACTATGTTTGACAAACAATCTTCTTCTTTACTTCTATAAACTAGCATATCATATCCATTCTACTCCACTCTACTCTACTCTACTAAACTAAACACAACTAACTTGTGGGTAGAAGATAACAACTAGTGACGAAATACTAACCCAATAAAATACTAGTTCAAACTTGGCAGGAATTAATAAGTTGGACTTGTTTATTTCCTTTTTTGGCAACAAAATGTGTGTTCTGCTTATCTTTCTTTTTACTTTTCCCGATACATGCCACTATCTTCATATTGGAATAACCTGGTAGTTCTTCTGGCTCAATGCGGCACAAGTTCTATGAGAGGTGATTGCTGCCTTGTTAGATTAACTCTAAGGGATCAAGATAAGATTGGGTTAGCATTGGGTTGTAGAATGAGTATCAAATCGGCTAAAGAAGGACATTTCAAAACAATGAGGTACTGCTTGGCATGGTTTTATCTCGTGCTAGTATTGTTGAATAGTGTTGCTGGATTGTTTGATGATGATCTATGTTTAGAAAGTAGTGATGACGATGATGGTGATGACAACGTGGTGGATCCTGTTGAAGTGTATTATATGGGTTATTGTGGCGATCAGAATTTACTTAAGCCTACCAACCAAGGTGTTGACCAGTTGGATAATATTAATGAGTCCATTGAGAAAACACCAATACCATGGGAAACGGCGCAGTGGATAATTCATAAGCTGAAATCAATTGGGTTGGTATTTGGCAAAAAAGACGCAATCGTGAGTCTGACGTCTTATATATATAGATATCAAGATGGGTCAGTAGTGAATGACAGCATACTCACATATAAGTCTAAGTATATGATAAACCATTTGGGATCAAAAATCACATTTGTACTGCCTAGATATGCAAGTATGGCACAAGCTCGGGCCGATATGAATATATTAAAAGAAGTTGCGGTCATTCGAGCCGATAGATTCGATTATCTATGGGTTACCTTTAAGTACGATAAGGCCAATCCAAGTTACGCACGGGCAAACATGTCTATTCTATCTCGAGTTATTAACCTGATTGATGCCAAAAACCTAATCTTTCTTGTGGGTGCTCAGTCGAAAAATCATGTAATGGACTTTAAATCTGTGGCCGATGCTGGTTATAAAGAGGCAATAGATGTCAATAGACATGCTAGTTATAAGTTCGAGTGCCATCTTCTGATTCCCAGGGCAAATGACGTCATGATGAGGTTTTTCGAAAAAGATGCTGTCTATCAGCGGCCCATTGTAAGAATCACATTGGACTACAATCAAGTTCCATGTCTTGATTTACTTAACATACTTCCACTCGAGGACGGTTATTCACTTACTTTCATGGACCTTTTTCCAGGCGACATGATGGGTCCAGTAGAAGTGCTTAATATTGATTTTAGTCCTCTTCAAAGCTCGTTAGTCAAATGCGGTGAGATAAAGATTATGAGAATGCTGGACAAAGATATAAAAGTAACAGGTCTTGGTAATATGACTAGTGATTGTCTGACGAGGAGTTTAATGTTGAGATGGAGTGACATATTGCCAATAAAATATGAACAGGGCCAAACCCAAACAGATACTATCATTGGGTTAGAGATTTCCCCTACATATGACCAGAACTTGTTCAGCATTGCTAACATTTCAATACCAGCCACGCCTTGGCTTTTTGCCGCCAAACTCATTTCTCCGATTGCCACTAAACTGCCATGCAGGCCATTGAATGCCTATCAAGGAATTTACACTAAAGAGGTTTTTGCCAAACTTGGCATCGTAACTGATGAGGTAGATGTATGTTATAGTACTGGCCGGAAAGACTTTATCGCCACATTCGAACTGTTCTACAAAATCAATGCCATCTCACCAACTTTTATGATGATGATCCAACGAATGGGCATTGTCTGCCAAGGAGAAAGGCTTAGTACTCCCAACTGGAAATGTCATGAGACAGTTGACATTAAACTTACGGATCGTGATTTAACAGACCTATTCAACATGTACAGAGAACAAGCCGGAGATGCCTTTTGCCAGAATATACACTATTCAACCATCATATTTCGCGCACCTAACGTAGTAGACATAAAATGTGTTTGGGAGTGTATTGAGTTTCTAAACCGATTCCAGAACATCACTGCTGATCAACTCCGCTTCTCACTTATTCGCTCAAAGATTAATTTCCTCAACGATTTTGAAATGAAGACTCTATATTTCCAGAAAACGTGTAATTGGTGCCTTAACGTCAAAAGTTTAGTCCTTGACAATGTTGATCTTAACATTATCTACAAAATATTGGGTGAATATACTTTTGTCAGACTTGTTGAAATACAAGTTCTGAATATGCGCTTCCATAATCTGGCTATTGCTCAAATCCTCACTTCTCCTATTGGCCCGCAGATCACTTCGCTCGTACTTAATGACTGCCCTTGTCTAGATGAGGTTAAGTATTGCGAACAGCCGGATGTGATCAGTGGCTTCTCGTTATTCAAGTATATCAGTCTAGCCAAAGAACAAAACCAAACCACACAAGACCTCGGCTTAAGCAAACTGGTTCTGCAGTTGACTGAGACCGATGCTAAACTCTATAACAATGCCCAGCAGGTCTTTGATAGTTATGAAATTCAATTTCAAACTGCCCCGATAGACTCCGCGCCCCAAACATATGAACAGATCGTGGCCAAATACTTATGATGAATGACCCCAACACGGCTTGCTAGACATTCATGGTATCCCTCTACATTTCAGCAAATCATATGTAGCCCGCCGCCAAACTGGAATCTCTCAGCTGCCGTCGGCTCAAAACAAGCAGTTCCGAGAAGATTTATCCTATTATAAGTCCAATAAGATAATAGTTCTTTCCTTTATTGATAAGCAGATCCTAGCCCAAACAGATCTTGTGTATATTGTTCGGTTTGCAACTAGCTACTTTAAGAGTATAATACACTTGAGAATATTTAATCTACTAACCATCCGCAAGTCATTTATAACCCAATACTAATACTAACCCTGATTTGGGCTTCGTATAGGATAGTTTGAGGTAATATATGTTGCACGCCAATCTTGCAACTCGCCGAACTTGCAATTTCAAAACTATTTGCAGAAAGCGAAGCTCGTCACTTTCTGGCCCGAATTTGCGGATTCCGAGGCTGGCGAAACAGAACACAATAAAGATGCTTTATTTGAAAATCTAACAACTACTAGTTTAAAACATACACGGACAAACTATACTAACTCGAGTTCGCACTAGTTTGCGAATGTTTTGAAAGTGGCTATCAACCCAAAAGAGAG